ATCTTGGCTCTCTGAAGTATTGGATGATTTGGTTGTCTTTTTCCTTTTTCCCTCGTTTTGATTGCCAACCAATTAGTAACCTGTAGGTGTAAATATATGGAATTTTGAGGTATTCTTTTGTTCTTGCTTTTGGATTTTGCAATAGCCGAGATAATATTTTGATCTGATTTGGCATCAGTTTCGACTCCTGCCCGATTATCAAATTTGATAGGAATAAAAAGATGCGATTTTTATCTTCAATTTTTTTATTGCTGGTACAATTAACTGAAAAGGAACTGCGGAGCCGAAATTCCTCATGCTTGATAGTGTACTACTAACACACGGTGAAATCTTACATGCCCCGGTTGGTCGAATATGTTACTTCCTCATTAGGTAGGAAGGTGTGTGTGTGTGTGTGTGTTCTTTTTCTTTGTTTCTTTTTTTGTTGGTGATGAGATGGTTTCATTTTTCATGGGCAGCACCTTTGCCATTTCAAGAAAATAAGCACAATAGAAGTTGGTTTCTTGACTAAGTAAATGCCAATGATCTAAGAAAATTTGCATCTTTTTGAGAGTCAAGAATAACTTAGCAGTAGAAAATGGAAAACCTTTAAAGTTGGGTGAAACAGGTGGAATGGAGCTCTATGTGTAGGTTATTGTTTCATGGATTAGGGTACTCATTTTTTATTTTGTATTTTTTCTTCTTTCGAATTTGTTCATTTAACTTGTTTTGAGATGCATCAACAGTTTGCGTCTCTTCTGCAGCAGGAAACTGATATATACTGATTACACATCGTATTCAATTTTGTTTTGGAGAAATTCTCAGAACTTGGAAAGTTCAGTACTTTATTGGAAGAAAAAGATAAAGAAATATCAACCAATTCGTGTTCTGAAAATGGATCGATTCGATGAAATCTATAAAGAACGCATTGCAGCATTATGGCGAGCAATGTATACTACAAAATGCGTCAGAGAGGACAATATTCCGAGCAAAATTGAAGAGGTAACTTGACCTGGACTTTGTTTAGTTTTTTCTGTTGTGATTAGTTGCAACCTGGTAATTGTATACTTCAAATGGATATCCTATATTCACGTTAAAGTTCTGATACTTATCAGGGTCTCTACTTGGGTTCTCTTGGAGCTGCCAGTAATAAGACTGCATTGAAAAGCTTAAACATAACCCATATTCTGACAGTCGCAAATTCTCTGCCCCCTGCTCATCCGAATGACTTTGTCTACAAAATAGTTAGTAGTAAGATTCTTCAGAGTATCATATTTCTTTTAATTTTAAGCTCAGATGATCTTTAATCCTGGTATGAACTGAGTTTTTAGTTTTTGAATGAGAATAATTCTTCTGTTATTCATAGCTTAATAAGTTGCTTATTTTTTCCTTTTATTGTCATTATCCTTCCCTCTATTCCCCCCTCCCCCCCTCTTCCTTCGGGTGGAAGGGGGGAGTTCGGGAGTTGATATAATTAAGAGGGCAGAACGTTTGTCTTGTACAAGTGCCGTATGTCAACTCTGTGCTTTGCTTAAAGCTGTTGATTCTCCCATGCAACTCATATCATCTGTACCTAAATAAAGACTTCTTATTATTGTATTAATGAGATCACTACAAATTTTGTTGTCCATTCTACTAAGTAAGATGTTATTGATCCTTTTCTGTTATATTTGAATTGAGACAGTACCAGACAGGGAAGACATAAATATCTCACAATATTTTGATGACTGCTTTGAATTCATTGACGGAGCTAAGAGAAAGGGAGGTGGTGTTTTGGTACATTGCTTTATGGGAAGATCCAGGAGGTAATATTTCTGCTTTGGGACTAAATACTTAAAGGTCTTGCAGATGTATTTGTCAAACAGCCACCACAAATTGGGCTTTGCACCTTCTGGTGGTTTGGAAGAGGTCATTTTTGGATTATGTTTTCTACAACATGCCAGATAACAATAGCATTTGAGAAGTAACTTATTCTGTAATTTGGATCTGAGTAATAGAAAGGGAAATATTTGACTACTTATAGTACTTCAGTCATGCTTTGGTTGGACTCATGAACATTTAGAAGGAAAAGATAGCTTGATGATTAGATTAGTTAACCAAACATGGTAACCAGACTGCCTCACATTTTTAATAGTCCTATTTTCTAATTTTAAGTGATTTTACATCTTGTCTTATGAGCTTTTTTTGATGCCTGGAATCATTTAATGTCTTGATCTCAAATTAGTTGAGGTTGTCTTTTGTGTTCTACAACATAGAACATGATGAATTGGAGCAAACTCAGATTAGATGTTAACCTTGCAGCGTCACAGTGGTTGTTGCTTATCTAATGAAAAAGCATGGTATGAGCCTATCTCAAGCTTTGGAACATGTGAGAAATAAAAGGCCAGTGGCATCACCTAATCCCGGTTTTATGTCGCAACTGCAGAACTTTGGGAAAACTCTTAAAGGTTGGGATTCCCTTTTTTCTTTTTGGGTTTAATATCAGCCAGACATGATATTTCACCTTTAAAGTATATGGCTCATTGGCTTCTACTTTGTTGAGTACCTTCTTCCTGGCCAGAGCTAGTAGTGCTTCAATACATAAATCCATTTTGCCAGTGGTAGATGTTTTCTCTTGCAGATATCTTTATACATTTGTTGCTCGAGCTTTGCTACTTGAAGAAATTTTCTTTGACTAGATGATCTTTTCTTTTGTTGCCAACTCTTTTGAAACGCAGGCTCTCAGTCTACAAGCGAAGTTTAAGTGCGGAAGCAATCAATTAGCAATACCACTAGAAGACAGTCAAGACAGAAGTTTCATGTGTAAAGATCTACATAGCTCAAAATAAACATTGATGTCATATGAAAATTGCCCTGAATAGGTCATGAACTTGCCACTTTATTTGATAAGAATACAGCAAGAGTTCTGATTGAGCATTCTTCTTCTTCTGATCCTATCAATCAGAAGATCAGAAGAAGATGATAGCCTCGACTAACATAGACATTGAGTCATTGACCGAGGATAATAGCCTCGACTACTCAACTGAACCAGATTGATGTAAGGCTTGCTAGCCGAGATTAGATATGTATCAGTTCCTGTGTTCCTCGCATTCTTACCTTGATTCTATGTAGCTGCACCTGTTATAATATCCTATTCTTAAGATGATTATGGGCAAATGTCATTAGTAGTTTAGTACAGCTTTGGAATTCAAAGAAGTCTAAACTACATAATTTGATGTGGTCAAAAAATATTACAAGAGTTGTGAGCAGCTACTACTCTTACGCTGGCACTAATTAAAAAAGAAAAAAGAAAAAAGAAAAAAGATGCAGTAATCTCAGTAACATATTGGCAATTTTTTCCATGTCATTAACTTATTAATGCAACAATTTCCGAAAGAATACATGTTTATGCAATATCCGAGCCAAGATGCTAACCTTCTTAACTTTGATCACCATTGTCCATGCTTTTGCGAGTCCCCTAAATCAATAGACGCAAATGATGAGATTATGATAAGGTAAGGTGAGAAAAACTGCTTCTAGTGCTCATACATGGTAGTAGTGATGACTGATGAGCAGTAGTGTGAAAATTACAAGTCTCTGTGGACAATGCCATGCAGAGGAAAGAATTCAATTTTACCCATTGGGGTCCTCCAGAAGACAACTTGTCATCCACAAAATTCCCCATCTTCAGGCTTCAGCCGCCAAAAGTCCTCCATAGGGCCCATAGGCTAGCAGCAGAGAATTCAGAGACAGAATTATTGGTGGGACACTGGGCCTGCGGCTCTCCAGTTCACACCATTCGAATCTTGATGAACGTATTATTACACAATAACGCAAGGGTTTCCTCCAATACACTCTACAATGCAGTAAACAAACAACATTGCATTGCAGCACCCAGCTTTGTAACCTTTGAACCAGGCTACCGAGCTAGACAGTTACAAAGAAACAAGGGTGTTGCAGTAAAATTTAATCTGAGCGAATAGCGAAAAGGTGAAGACAGTAGACATTAGACAAACCCTTTTTCTTCATCTGGTAAAATTTGGTTTTGGTCAGCATAGGAAACAAGGTTGGCAAACCTCACTACAATGGCACTTGCTAAATTAAAGATTCTGCTGTATTAACACTACAATTTATTTCAACTCGAAATATATTTTGTTAACACTAAAATATTACGCAGGTAGGCAGGCAGGCAGGCATATACATTCTTTTCTTCCCAAGACTTTTCTGTACTAATTGACTAGCTGGTTTGCCATGTAAGCAATTTCTTTCTTTGCATTTATTATATTACCAAAACCTTGCTTCAGCTTCAAATTTATGTTAGTTCATCTCACGTTCGTCTGGATGAAAAGTAAAATACAGTTCCGTGTCGGTTAAAACCCAGTAAAAGTATGGCAAATGTATGACCAGTACACCTATATATGAACATTAACTAACTTGGAGTTATCTATTTAGCAGATGGATCAGATGCATAATTGCTTGTAGGAAAAATATGATACTTCATCTGATCAGAGACTTAGAGAAGGCATCCGGCTTCCAACTTGGCCTTGGACAAAATATCAGAAAGACGGATGGATGGTGAGTCGGAAGAGATGAAGGATGGAGCGTGGCACGCATGAAGGGAAGCGGAGGAGCAGGAAATATGCATGACAATGTCACAAAGGATGAGAAGTAGTGGTAGAGCTGCTACCTAAGTATTAACCCCTACTGCTGTATTTTATCTCACGAGGGGGAAGGCGTAATTGTTGCGTAGATAATAAACGTGAGATGTAAATATTCACATACACTGCAAGAGAGAGAGTGACAAGGGGAGTAAAACTAATTAACCTCACGAGACTGCAACATTTTGCATTTATTATATACTACTACATCAACTTTAGACCTAGTAGAGATATCCTCCCGTCCCCTCTTTCTCTATTCACTAGGTTGATATGATTCTTTGACATGTATTTTTGCCTATATATATAGGGGGAAAGAAAGAAACTATACTACCAATTTGGTACAAAGGAATAACAAGAACGCAAAATAATTTACCTGAGCTAGCTTTGTTTCTCAGCTGCCAAGAACTCTAGCATCGCTAGTCATGTCTCACATAGCTGTGGAGAGGAACAGGAGAAGACAAATGAATGAACATCTCAAGGTTTTACGTTCCTTGACACCTTGTTTCTACATCAAGCGGGTAAACTATTCCTACCTCTTTATTCCCCATCCCTTTTTTGTTTAAGGGTTTTTGATTTGGAAAAGTTTCGCAGTGAAATTATGCCAATCGATTTTGGTTCGAATGATTTGTTCAAATAATTACCACCTTATTTAAGCTACTGGAGAACGGCATAATTCATTAATCTAATCCATGGGTATTGGTCAACTTATTAACTGAAATTTTGGGATGCTTTAACATATTGAAATGTTTTTGTTATGTGATATTGAAGGGAGATCAAGCATCAATAATAGGGGGTGTAATAGAATTCATAAAGGAGTTGCACCAAGTTCTACAATCCCTAGAGGCAAAAAAGCGAAGGATGAGTCTGAGCCCTAGTCCTGGACCTCCTGGTCCTAGCCCGAGGCCAGTCCTATTGCAGCTAAGTCCTAACTCTGAAAGTTCACTTGGAGGGCATGATAAGTTTAAGGAAGTCGGAACATGCTGCAACTCTCCGGTGGCTGATGTGGAAGCAAAGATATCAGGATCAAACGTTATCTTGAGAACTGTTTCTAAGCGAATTCCTGGTCAATTGTCAAGGATCATCAGTGTGTTGGAGAAATTCTCCTTTGAAATTCTCCATTTGAATATCAGTAGCATGGAAGATACTGTTCTTTACTCTTTTGTCATCAAGGTATATGTGCTACATATATATATATAGCTACTCTGATCATCCAATATCAAGAGCTAGCAGCGCTGGCTATGCAGAAATTGATTGCAAGAAGATATGCAGTGGAAGGGAAAATAATCTCTAAAACATGACTAGCTATATATGGTCAATCACCTTTCCTTATTTAGTAAGGATTTATCACATGTATTGCTTGCTGATTCAGTAGGTATGACATTATTTCGTAAACAATGACGGAGAGCTGAGGCAACAGGCAATCTATGTAATTGAAACTTCACCTATACAATCAATATCAAAGAAGAAAATTGAGCGAACAAAAACTAACATTTTTTCATATATAGGAAAAGAAAATGTATAGGAATGAATACTTGATACTCTTAATGATCAATCAGATAGCATAACACCTATAATATAGTACGTAGTATACAGTATGGTAGTTAGATATAAAGCCAACAACGATTTCATCCGTTGGCTTTAACCCATTTAGCATTTAAATTTACAGGAAGGATATAATAAGAGAAATGTAGGAGTACCTTGTATATGTTCATGGATGAACATATTCATTTTTTAGTTCTAAGTTAATCAATATGGTTTCGCCTCACTTTTCTCCTCTTTTTGCTTTTGCTTTGTGATTATTTCACTGCAGATAGGGCTTGAGTGTCAGCTGAGCCTGGAAGAACTTGCAATGGAGGTTCAACAAAGTTTCCGCTTCCAATCAGTTTATGCCAAGGAAACTGTAGGATAGGAATGCTGATCGAGAAAATTTATGTAAGTGGTACATGTCTTCCCTTCTTCGAGGACATCCCATGAAACTGGGACCTAAGTGATATAGCATTTTTCCTTGTATAGTAAAGAAACTGGCATCCTGAATGCATTTTAATGCATACAACACGGTACTCTTTACTAAATAAGGAAAGGTCAAGCATTATCACTAATGGTACATATTAGTGCTCTAGCTAGCTAGCATACCCTAACGTACGTTAGTTTCCACTACGTGAAAGAACACAAAAAAAATCTAAGTCCACTTTTCTGTTAGTTCTTGAAGAAGCTGGTAATGGAGGAGGTATACATACAATCAATATTCTAGCTAGTCGCCCATCATTCTCCCCACAAATTTTTCATTTTAGATTGTCACTCAATCTTAGAAGAAATTGAGAAATTGAGTAAGGGAAAGGTCCTATGGAATTTATTTTCAGTTGTACTTACCCTCAATGATCGATGTTACAAATAAAATGTAAACAGCTAATTGTATTGTGGGGAGGAGAAGACTTCAAGCTAGTTTCAGAAATAATGCATATAAAAAATGTTTAAGAAGAAAATGAATGGTGATTAGATTTTATTGTGTGTTAAATATATGGAACAAAGTGTTTGCAAGATGCAGTTGAAACTGGTATTACCCTGTGATGAGCACTCCAAGCCCAATAGCTCCTCCAACCACAAATCCAGACAAGTTCTGTACCTGTACAATTCCCATATCACAAGCATTTGTAAGATTCATCTTATTGGTTTTGTTTAATTTTTAGGTCATTTTCAAGAAACATTGTCATATGGATTGCATGTTGCAACTAAAGATGTGATAATAGTAGTTTTGTGGTTGGAATTTAGGAGGTTGTGAATTTCTCTGGAGTTCAGCTAGGTACCTGTACTTGGCCTCTTTCCCCTCCCAGAAGGCAAAAAGGAGTCAAATAAAAATGAAGGGATGAAAAAGAGCAGCTCATTATCTTACAGATTCTGGTGCATTTGCCAAAGCTGCAGCTAAGAATACAACCATTGATGTTGCAATGAACTCAACAGAAAAGGCTGCAGCACTGCGTCCATGGAACGGTTTTGTCAACACCAAATCTGTTTGTAAGCCATAGACAAACTTTCCTGCATAGGTTGCCAGGACAGCACCTCCAAGCTGTGCTGATAAATAAAGTGGAACCTTGACAACAATTTGGAGAATGCATCAATTACTGTATGGAAAGACCATTTTGATGTTGGTAGTTGGAATGGAGTGTGTACCGTGGACCAGGGAAATGGACCAACAGTTGCAAAAGCAATTGTGATTGCAGGGTTAACATGAGCTCCAGAGATGGTACCAATAGCATAAACTAAAACCACCACCGTTAAAGCTGCTGTTGTTGCATATTCCATTAGTCCTATCTGACCTTTCATTAACTCCATGCTCGCAATGATTCCACATATACAGAAAACCAATATGAAAGTCCCTACTGCTTCAGCCAAAACCTGCATTTTGGAAAGGCTTGTCAACCTGATTAGGTAAAACTAAGTGACAGCTACACTAACAAAAACATTAGTATTGCTCTGGTACTAAAACAAGAAAGTAAGTTCAGGCGATCTGTTACCTTCCGGAGACCTGGGCACATTGCACGTGGGAAGCCACGAAAAGACTGATTTTCTTGCAGAGGTTCTCCACTGATTGGTTTTGCATCAGTCCCCATTTCTTGATCATTCTTTAATTGGTTGCTGACCAGCGCATCAATTGAAACATCAAGAGTCGGTGGATCCTCAGGCAAGGATTTCATGACAGATCAACCTTATGCAGATTCTCAGTGGGGTGAAACTCAGAATACAAGATTATGGCAAAGAATTTTATTTTATTTTATTTTTTTGTCCTTAATCATTATGTTCCTCTGGTATATATATGCAGTTTCTGCCTGACGATGTAATATTGGAGATTTTTTTGGTCTTCGCATTGTCTGAGATCTTAATTGGCGGACAGACACTCGAGAGGTCTAGTGTATATCCTTCAGCACAATCTTTGCGTTCCTTTGGCTTGAGAAAAGAAATAATTCATGCTTCTTAAATGGCCTGTAAATAAACGGGATATGAGCTATTTTCTACCTAACTGTTTCAACTTTTGGTTGAATCATATATGTGATCATTTCTTCGCTTCTGGTTTACATTAACCTGTACTTGGAAGTTGGAACTATGCAGATTGTGGACTAGTGTATGTTTTCAGCTGTCATACAAATATTGTTGTATAATACGGTAGCCTATTTGGTCAACAAATTCTGTAAGATCACTTGGTAAACGGAAACTCATCTGTGATAGCCGTAGATTGTGATTCAGGAACAGCAATAAGAATTGTCCAAACAATAGATATATTAGCTCATGAACAGGTAATAAAGGCTATATAAGACAGCATTTTCTCGTTGGAGTGTGCCTAGCTTCATGCAATATAAACTTTGATTACCATTCTAGGTACAATAAACAGAACCACCATGCTTGCAGGCCATAGAAAGCCTGATCAAGGGGCCTGATGACCATCATTTCCCATGCATAAATTTGGTTAATCTTTCAAAAATATGCGATTCATTGATGACAGTTATCATCTATTCGTCAAGCTAAACAGGCGCCAAATCTTTTAATGTCCAAGTTCGAAAAATAGTAGTCTTTTACGCCTAACCATGATAAGATGAAAATAACAGCAAGGCAACAGTGAGGCAAGGAATTGTTGAGAATCCAACCTTCCACTTGAAAATAACTTGTTAGTGATTCCAACAATGATGCCTGACCAGATGAATCCTGATTGCCAAATGATGCATTGGTAATGCAATTAATGATAATTCAATTGGGAATAAATGCTTCATCTTAGTTTCCCTAAATAAAAGCAATCTTATTTCGTTGGATCCTGACACCTGAGGCAATTTGATTTATTTTTCGGTTGATCTTCAGAAGATATTTTGAGATCATGGTACATTTGTAAAATTAAAGTTACCACATGTGGTCCTAATAAAGAACAGGGAAGAACTGAAGCCCAGCGTTGACTTTGCTAGATCAAACAGTAAAAAGTTATTCTCCATCTGGAATGATCCAATCAGAACTGCCTGTTCAGCTGTCTTCCCACCATTGACAAATGCCAGACAGGCTATCTCTTCACTGACTTGCTTCATAGAGTTTGCGCCAAATATTGTCCAATTCTTGCCATTTGCCAACTCCAAGTCAATCGGAGGCACATGCAAACCAACCCGACTAAAGCCAATTGCAGTAGAGTTGAAACATAATCTGAATGGCTTCACTGCATTTAGCTGAGGAAGGCCCTGAGTGGACTCTATAAAACTGTTGACAAATGCCTTGTAAACATCAGCTCTCAGTGTGGTGTAAGGGACAACTGTGCTGAGCTTCACCCCGCTGTGGCCTAATTTATCAGCTGCTAGCGACTTTCTTGGAACAGGAATCGCCTTTCCACCTATTGAAATAGCCTTAATGTCAATGTAATAATCTGGTGATTTTGGAATCTTTTGCAATGGAGTGTAAGTGAGAATGCTTGCTACATCAAAATTTGTTGGAGGCAGCAGATTATACGGGCCATCCCCAAAGAAGACCAGGCCAGGGGCTGCATCTGTGTCAGGCAAACAGATTGCGAACTTCTTGCTTAGTCCAAGAAATGAAGGAGTAAATTGAGACACTAGAGCCAAAGGTGCCGTGGAAATGCCAGCCAAGCCAATAGCTCCTTTAGGCAGGGACTTCAAGAGGGAGTCAGGTGCACAAGATACATAAGTATTACTGAATGTTATGCTACCAGTAGGAGTACTACCGTTTATTGAGGAGATAGCGAAATTTTTGTATGTCAACTGGGCCGAGGCACACAATTTGGTGACAGGATTTACAGGTGTGACCAGACAAGTACATGGTACCTGCGGGAGTTGTTGTTTAGATTCTAGGATACAAGAGGGTGGAGGGTAAGACTGGGCTTGCAAGCACTGAGGTGATCTGCAGATCACAAGAGGGTGTTGCAGTGGGCAGTTATACCACAGAAAAGGAGAACTGAGGTCAATGACGTAGTGCTCATTGATGTTAAGTCTAATGCTGTAAAGGGAAGTTTTGGTGTCTTTAGCGATGGATGCAACAAGCGTTTTGTGAGGTCGAGCTGCAGAGACTTCATATGCTATGAAGGCCAGCAGAAGCAGGAAGAACTTAGAAAGATGCATAATTATCAGCTAGGTGCTTTTCTACAATCTTTGGTGATTATTATGGAGATTGCTGGAGAATAATGAGCTGGAATGCTATAAAAAAAAAAGAAAAGAAATGATATGGTCGATTCAAATTGTCTGACCAAAGCTAACAAGCAATACCATTGACTTAAAACAGTTGATTGACAACTAAGAGATATTTTGACTTTGAAATTATCCACAAAGGCCATCCTTAGTTACTGCCTCGATATCGCAGGCTCAAGTTTCGTTAGTCTTCATAAAATGTACTAAAACAGTTTGCTTTAATGCTAAATAGTGAAGAATATCTTGAATCCGTAGATGTGACAAGTAATCATCATAAATGCAATTTTTCACGCGGCATCAGTTGGGCTGCTTGTTCATTCCAGCAAACTATTACACAAACCCCCACACCACAAATTTTCACGCGGCAGCAGCTGGTCTGCTTATTCATTCCAGGAAACTATTACAGAAAATAGTTGTCTATTGCCTATGGATTGGAAATTGGAAAATGAATCGAAGCTCTTTAAGCTCGAGATGTGAAGTTGAAGTTGGCACATGTTGTTTGGCGAAACAGAAGTGAAGAACTGAATCCCAGCCTTGAATTGGCAATATCAAATTGCAGTAAATTCTCCTCAATCTGATATCCTCCAATGACAATTGAGGTGGTAGGTCTAACACCTCCATCAACAAAAGCCAGACAAATAACATCCTTGTTCACCTGCACCATTGAATTTGCACCAAAAATTCTCCAAAACACATTGTTGCTTTGCAAGACAAGATCAATGGGAGGAACTGCTGGTCCAGCGCGTGTGCTGCCAATACTATTAGAGCTGAAACATGTTCCAAAAGGAGCAACTGATGCCACCCTAGTGACATTAGAAAGCTCTTCAGCAAAAGCCTTGGAAACTGCATTATATATTGAAGTTTCCATAACTGTATAAGCTCTGCCAGTGCTGATTTTAGTTCCACCATTGCCTC